AAATGGCACGCTCCCACAGCGAAGAAACAAAAACAAGGTAATCCAAAAAAGGCAATTGTATGCGTCGACTCTTCACACTCTCTGCTTTACATTTGCTCCATCTCTCTTTGCTGAATTGGAGGAAAGAGCAGACACACACAAAAGTTAATACAATGACCCTTTCTCTCAAAAGATAAATTTACCAACAACAGGTCGTTTATCTCACCTGAGTTTTTTTTACTTCCTCTGTCGCTTCTGGAAAAAGAACTACAAACACAGAAGAAACCAAATTATGGCTTGAAGAACAAATGTTAAAACAACAAACGACACTTCTGACATGCAGATGCGCTCACCACAGCCAGCAGGCCAGCAATCACAGCCAGCACCACCACCACGATGACGGCGATGATCCCGCCTGTCAGGTGCTTCATGGTCATGGTCGGGGGCTCCTCGTCCACATAGTACACGATGATCTTCTCCATCATCAGAGTCTGCCCACCCACAGAAGCATTAAAGTTTTTCTGGTCAGTAAACAGTGGCAGCGCCTTCACCTGCAGAAAGTCACATGAAATGATGAAGTTAGCCAGTGGGTCCATTATACAAAACGTGCACACACACACAAACACACAGGTTGTACATACGTCTTTCTCCATGTAGTAGGCCATTCTGGACAGGTCACTGATGCGCTCTCCTTTTGGCTTAGTCACATCAACCACAATCATGCGAGCGTCTGGGTCATACTGTAGAATGACAGGATGTTAGTTAGCATGGCAGTGGTGCTTTTTGCTTTGTTCTAAATTACAAGCAGTTTTTTGTTGGACTGTCACTCACCTGAATCTCCTTCACCAGGCTGGAGTCAAGTTTGTAACGGCTGTTAAGTTCATTTGCAATAGCACTGTTTTAAAAAAAGACATTAGGATGGTGAGATCTGGAAATGTCAGCCTCAGCATGTTTCTTAACTTTTAATAAGGGCTGAAGTGGACTTACGCCTTCAAATTGTCTTTATTCACGTTGGTGGGCCCCTCCTTGTGTGTCAGCTGAAGACGGACCCAGCTGGAAGAGGGAAAAATAAAATAAAGAAATGTTGAATACTTGAACTATTCATCCTCACAGCAATCCTTCACTATAGTGAAATCACTTACTAGGTCTCCACCAGCTTCTCACACTTGAGGGTCTGGTCTCCCTTGTCAGTTCGACGGACTCCAGCGCTGTTGACGCACCAGCACACATTTGTGTTGTTGCACTGCTTGGCCTTGAATTTGCCGTCATTCTCACATTCAGGGTCATAGATGCCATCGTTGTCCACAATGGCGGTCTCATGTTGCTTTCCTCCAATACTGCGAGTGCTCAGGCCCCTTCTAGCTCTGTACATTTCAGCTTTCATCAAGAAGCACTTGGGGATCACTGAGGGGGGAACAAAATGCACAGCATGAGCAGGCTGGAGTGTCAAACAGAGGACATGAAACAGGAAGGAGCCCCTTTACCACTTCTAAACTTACATGCTGTGCAGTCTAAGGGCTGTTTTGTACCATTACCAATCAGAAGAGTACATGAACATGGGGGTCCCTCGCACATAGCCCACTTCATAGTGGCACATGTACCTAAAGAGAAAGGAAAAAAAAACAAACCCACCATACTAGCAGGTTATTAACAGGAACTCAAATATGTAACCACATTACTATACTGTGACTTCCCGAGGCTTAACACACACACACACACACACACAATAGAAAGATGAATCTTTGGTATGACAGTGTTTGAAAAGATTTAGTCTTTTGTCTTCCTTATAGCTCGAAACGGAGACGTTAAATCGTACAGGTAGACCGGCAGGTTTGCCTGGGCGTTGGTTTCTCCCCACAGAGCGGAACAAACCTTCCCAACCCCCACCCACCTGAACTAGCTAGTGTTACATTAAAAACAGATTTTTGGTCCAACTCTGGCGGCTAATTACATTATTTTAACAAATAAAACAAGCAAAACTACATCTCATAGAAAGATAATGTATCTATGTCTTAAATAAAGCTGGTTCAAACTTTAAAAATGTTTGTTTTTGCGAAAACTTCCATCAAATCTACGTCAAAATGAACTGTGCGATTTTTCAGCCGGATACAATTTTATATCAAATTTAAACTACTTACACTGAGCCGAGGCTCCGACCGCGAGAGCGGCGAGAACAGCAAAAATCCACATTTTCATGATCAAACAAAAAAAGTCTTCGTCTGTCCGCTTCCTATGCGTCCGTCTCCCGCAGAGGTCAAAGACCGAGTGAAGAATGCCCTCGACGCGCCCAACAAGGCTCCTTTTCTCGGCGCAGGTGTGTCCCGGTCAAACCTGTTTTAGAGAGGAACTAAAGCGCGCGCACTCACAGGTGAGACGAGGAACCGAACGAGCGCGAGCACACGCTTAAAAGTTGAATTCAAATTCAAAGCAGAGCTTATCCTGGATTATATTCCGTTTGGTAGTTGTTGCACACCTGATGGAGGAAGGACCTGAGCAGTAAAATTTATAAGAGAATTACTCTCATGACGTCAGGCTAATTTGCATAGGCGGCGCAGTGCGGAGTGGGGAGGGGGCGGGGGAAACGCACCTATATCCGGTATGACCATATTTGCCCTCTCTGTCTCTGTTGAGATATTTTCATTTTCAAATCATAAATAAATTTAACGTTTACCCTTGTGACGTCATCGTCTTGTTATATTTATCAAAAATGATCTGAAACTGGTTTAAAATTTGGTTGAATTCATCTTTAAATACCTTTAAATGCCTATGTAACCAACGGCTTTTAGTGTTTTGGGTTCACTAACACAGAAAGGAGTCCGTTAGGAACTGCAGGGAACTGGTTATTAAGGTGTTTTCCCCTCTTTTCCCCTGTTTTCCGTGTTGATATTTTCCTGACGTGCTTGTTGAGTTTCGTGTAAAACATGTAGAAAAAGGCAAACTCTCCTAGGCTATAGAAGCCATGTCACGTGGTGTTGATTCATGTCATAAACCTTACTTTTAAACAAATAAAAGCGTTTATTATAATTATTATTCTCAACGTATTTTGTTGTAAGACCGCCATCATAATATTCCCGCAACATTTTGTGGCAGATAACTAGAAATCCCATGTTGCTACACTGAAACTACCTAATGGTGTAGTTTCACTTTAAAATACATAGTGTTGTTCATGCAGATGTTTTTCCTTGTTATGAATTGTGAAACACCGCGATGCGATGACATCATCAACAGGTATCTAACAGAAACCGGAGAGGGAGAAAACATTTCTCAGGTGTTGTGAGTCACATTCTCACGGATGAGTCACAGCCTCGGGTCTCTGTCTGAGAGATACTCTCACCAGCTCTGCACAAATCCTTTCCTACCTGATCTAGCTGGGATCAAGTGGCATAAAGTGTTGTTTTAAAAGATTAAACTTTTAAGTTGGGGACAGTTCTTATTTGGGCTTCATGCACAGCGAACCAGACGAATGCTCTGCTGCCACCTATGGCACACAGTGTGTTTTTTGTGTTTTTCCTGACACACCTTTCTTTTTCATGAGCGTGTTTACAGATTGAGAATCTTTAACTGCCTCTTCTTCAGTCTGGACAGTTACCCGTTTAAAGAAGACAGTTGTTAAACACTTAAAACTTTAGCAGGGTTTTATATGTCACTCCAGAAACACGAAAGGAAACAAAGACACATATTGGAAAGAAATCGCTTCACTAGGAAAAACTGAAAAAATGTGTTGCATGTATTTCCCAATTAAAAAACACGCCCTATTCTTTTTGTATACCATAAACAAAGTGCTATAGAAATACTAACAAGTGCTTTCTTTATATTTTTTAGACATAAATATTGTCTACAAGCAGATACTTGTGATTAAATGTACAAAATTTGGTGGTAAGGAACAAAAGGTCTGCTTTTAGTGTGATCGCTAGTGTCCGAGCCAATCTGACAAGGCCGAGAAGGTAAACAGTTTTTCAAAAGTCTAATGGATATCATGCATTAAATTCAAAATGATATAGATCTTTATTTCAATTAGTAGCTTTTTTAATTCATCTGCATACAAAAGCCATGCCTATATGAAACAGGAAGTTGTAGCCCATAACTACTAAGTACACAGAAAGGTCAGGCGAACACCAAATGGGTTTCCAGATTTGTCATGAGAACAACATATTAAATCTTTGGAACTAAATGTAACAAGAAAGTGTGATGTCTGTCTGTTTAAAGACACCAGATCGTATCTGCAAGTGGTGTAAGTCTTTCATATTGTGCACCAAAGTTATTATAGTTTACTAAAACTAAACTGGAAACTACATGAAGCAAACCTCCACCGACACAGCTCACTCACTGGTATTTATTTTGAAGGCAAGAGTGTCGTATTTATATATATTTTCTATATATTCATTTTGTTTTCTTTGTTCTTTTTAAAGAGGAAAAATAGAAGAAATATGTATGTAGCTTGTTACAGCTTCTTTTATTTTATTTGTATATATTTTGCATATCTTATATTTTTACTTTATTTCTCAAATGCTGTGTCACTGGAGAGTGCCATACAATAAAAATGTTTACAATTTTTTTTTTTTGTAAAAACATGGCTTTGTGTGTGCACTGTAAAAAAAAAAAAAGCACTACAGTCATTTCAGAAACAAATGGTTCGAGATATTTGTGCTTCAGTTTTGTTGCTGGAGGTTCTGGTTTTTTAATTGAAGGCACTAATTAGCAGGTCACTGTGTCACTGTGCCTGGATGACGCTGGTTAGCCTTAGCTGGTAACGTAGCGCTCCATTCTCTGGTCACATTTAACTTAAACAAAAAGGAATTGCCTTTTAGCGACAATAAAAATGAGGCCGATTCATAAACACAAAGGTTAGCCAAATTGTTCAAAACAAGTACACATAGGTGCAAAAGTATCAGTCTTACAGCTTTTCGTATTAGCTCTACATACTAGATATTATAATCTCATGTCTCTCATTACAGTCTGTGATAAACTATTAGCTGTAATTCCAGCTCATGGCAGACATTTGCGGTAGGAGCAGCACACAAGTAACAATAGTTGTTGTGTAAGGAGTGACAGTCTGAGTAATGAACAAAATAACACTGAAACCAAGAACAAAAGGACAGCTCACTGTCATCGTCCCAGGGTTTCCTGGACTGTCTGTTATTGTTTTTCCTTCACTCCTCACCACCAGGGTGGAGTCTGGCTCTGGTCCCCGCCTCAGTACTCATCTGTTCAGCTCTACTCACCTGTCTGCCATCACTGATAATTACACACATGCCATCCATTGCTGCTGATTACTCCTGCACTACTTAAGGCCTTGGTGGAGGCTGACTTGTTGTTGAAACTTATGGTTCACCATGGCTAAAATGCAGCGAGAATTACAAAAGGTGGAGGGGTGGGCTCTGGAATGGGGGTTTAGGTTTTCCGTTTCAAAAACAAAATGGATTGTTTTCACACATAAGAGAATAAATTGCTAGTTGAGTCTCAAGCTATATGGGAATGACATAAAAAAGGTTGATTGCTTTAAATACTTAGGTATTTGGTTTGATGAACGGCTTACATGGAAAATGATATTTTACTATGTTTAAAAGGTAATGACTGGGGTGCAGATAGGACAACATTGAGAGCTCTATATGTAGGTCTCATTAGGTCAGTGCTGGATTATGGGTGTCTGGTTTATGGTTCAGCAGCTAAAACTTTGCTAAATGACCCGGACAGAGTTCAATATGAAGCTCTGAGGTTGTGTTGTGGGGCTGTTAAGACTACTCCAGTGGCTGCTCTGTAAGTGGAAATGGGGGAGCAACCATTATAACTAAGGAGGCGTCAAATTGCTTTGACTTACTGGGCAAATTTGAAGGGACATAGTGAAAGTCATATAGCGCAGAGTTTTACTTAAGCCTTGCCAAGAAAAAGGGATTGGGCTATAGGGAAAGAAGTCAACAAGATGGGATTTAGTGGCACAGACCTTAGCCCAGCAGTAGCCTTGTCAGTGTTGCCACCTTGGTTATATGACCAAATAATTCCTGACTTTTATTTGCTACGTAAGGGAGGGGGGGTGACTACAAGTGTTGGATAACAGAGTGGGTGTTGCATTTGTTCTCCCAGACATAAGTTTCGTGGCGAGTGAACGAATTACAGATGATTTGGCAGTTTATACTGGGGAGCTTGTAGCAATTTTACTGGCTTTGACCTGGATGGAGGACGCACCAATAGAGAGGTATTTGGTTTGCTCGGACTCTAGCAGCGCACTAGTGAGTATAGATAATGTCTTTGAACTCTAGACAAGATATTGTTTTTGAGATATTTCATTTATTGTAAAGAATTAAACCTAGAGGGATAGAAGTGGTTTTCTTATGGGTTCCTGCGCATATCGGTGTTGATGGTAATGAACAGGCCGATAAGTTTGCAAAAGGTGCAGCAAGAAGGAGTCATGTAGGTTTGCCTGTAAAATACAGCAAAAGTGAGGTGAAAAGTATAATCAAGGTAAAGTTAAAGGAGAAGTGGCAGTCACAATGGGACGGAGAGGGGAAAGGCAGGTATTATTATAGCATGCAGAAAACAGTCGGGCAATGTAGAAGGAGCTTTAGAAGTAGAAGAGATGAGGATATCATCTCGAGAGTAAGGTTTGGTCACACAGGCTTGAATAGCATGCTTAAAAAGATGGGCAAACATGACACAGGGACTTGTGACTTCTGTGGACAGGAGGAGACGTTTGAGCATGTTGTGTTGGAGTGCGGTAAGTACAAGCGAGAAAGGGAAGTATTGAAGTCTGAATTGTAAGAAAATAGTGTTCAGTGTGTTCAGGGTGAGGGACATATTTCAAAGGGATGCAGGGGATGTTATTTATAGGGCAGTGTTGGGCTTTTTAAGATCGACGGGTGCGTATCCGAGGCTGTAGATTACAAAACTGTTCCGACCCACACTCCATTCCAGAGGGTGGTGGTAAATGCACCTAAAAGTTGTTTGCCAACCGCCATTAAAACGTAGGAGGAGAAGAAGAAGACTTGTTGCTGGAACTTACAGGGTCAGGGGACGGATCACCCTACATTAGATGTACTTAGACCTTGCTGGGAGAAGGGCGGGAGGGAGTTAAAGAGTTTTGGATGGGTGATAAGATAAGATAAGATAGAACTTTATTAATCCCTCGGGTGGGTTCCTCTGGGAAATTCGATTTCCAAAAAAAGCACAGCACCGACAGAAGTTACAGAGTTACAGAATATTATATATTGTGTGTATATATATATATATATATATGTATATATATACAGTGGGGCAAAAAAGTATTTAGTCAGCCACCGATTGTGCAAGTTCCCCCACTTAAAATGATGACAGAGGTCAGTAATTTGCACCAGAGGTACACTTCAACTGTGAGAGACAGAATGTGAAAGAAAAATCCATGAATTCACATGGTAGGATTTGTAAAGAATTTATTCGTAAATTAGGGTGGAAAATAAGTATTTGGTCACCTCAAACAAGGAAAATCTCTGGCTCTCACAGACCTGTAACGTC